CAGTGGGGGAATAGTGCCCCATTAATTGGTGTTCAGAGGGGGGAATAGTACCACATATTGGTCGTCAGTGGGAGGATAGTGCCCAATCATTTGGTCGTTAGTGGGGAAGGAATAGTTCCCCATCATTGGTGTCAGTGGGAGGAATAGTGCCCATATCATTAGGTGTTCTAGGTTGGTAGGAATAGTTACCCCCATCCATTGGTTGTCTGTGGGAGGAAATAGTGCACACCATCCATTGGTATTTGTGGGAGGAATAGTGCCTCCATCATTGGTGGCAGTGGTGGGGATAGTGCCCCTTCATTGGTATAAACCAGTTGGCGATGGAATAGTGGCCCCATCATTGGTGTCCAGTGGGTGGAATTAGTGCCCTAACATTGGTTTGTCAGTGGGAAGGGAATAGTGCCCGATTCATTGTGGTGTCAGATGGGTGGGAATAGCGTGCCCCCACTCATTTGGTATACAGTGGGAGGATATAGTGCCCCATCTTTGCGTGGTCAAGTTGGGAGGAATTAGTGCCCCATCATTGGTGCTCCAGTGGGAGGTATTTGTGCCCATCATTGGTGTCAGTGGGAGGAATAGTGCCCCATCATTGGTGTCAGTGGTGAGAATTTAGTGCCACATCATTGGTGTACAGTGGGAGTGTATAGTGCCCCATCCATTGGTCGTCAGTGGCGAGGATTAGTGCCACATCATTGGTGTCAGTTGGGAAGGAATAGTGACCCCAACTTTGGTATTAGTGGGAGGAATAGTGCCCCATAATTGGTTATGTCAGTGGGAGGAATAGTGCCCCATCATAAGGTGTCAGTGGGAGGAATAGTGCCCCATCATTGGTCATTATGTGGGAGGAATAGTGCCCCATCATTGGTGTCAGTGGGAGGAATAGTGCCCATCATTGGTATAAGTTGGAGAATAGCGCCCCATCATTGGTGTCAGTAGGAGGGAATAGTGCCCCATCATGGTGTCAGTGGGAGGAGGAATAGTGCCCCATGGCATGATGGGACTTGTAGTACTTCCAACAGCTGGAGGGCCACAGTTTGGGGACCCCTGGATGGAGGATACTTATAATAAAATCTTGCTTTTAAACAGATGGCCAGAGTATCCGTGAGGAACGTCGGGATTTATTTCCCGATCCCGCCGAAGATGAAGAAATCGCTCCGTTTCTTCAAACTTCCAATCCCGGGGAATCATCTGATCCATCACAGACTACGACCTCCAACATCCGCCACAGTGCAGACCGATCAACAGATCCATCTGACCCCAAAGGATCTTCCGCAATCCACGAAGAGACGTCCTTGTCCTGTTCGGTGTGCGGGAAATCCTTCGCCGAAAAGAGAAACCTCTTTGCGCATCGGAGAATTCACCAGATCGAGCGTCTTTTTCCAATGTTCCGTGTGCGGGAAAAGTTACGTGCGGAAAGAAAAACTGGTCATACATCAGAGAACTCACACCGGCGAACGACCTTACTCGTGTTCAGTGTGCGGGAAGTGTTTCGCTGAGAAGGGGACGCTTCACAGACACCAGAAATCCCACACGGGCGAGCGTCCCTATTCTTGCCCTGAGTGCGGGAAAGGGTTCATCAGCAAAGAAGACCTTCTAAAGCACCAGAGAATTCACACTGATGAGCGCCCTTATCCTTGCTTGGAGTGTGGGAAGTGTTTTAAAGAAAAAAGAACGCTTGTTATACACCAGAGAATTCACACGGGTGAGCGTCCTTTCTCCTGTTCAGTGTGCGGGAAGTGTTTCAGCCATAAAGTGAGCCTATTTAGACACCAGAAAATTCACACGGTTGTGAGCGTCCATATTCATGTCCTAAGTGCGGGAAATGTTTTGTTCGGAAAAGAAGACCTTCTGAAACACCAGAGAGTTCACACTGGTGAGCGCCCTTATTCATGTGTAGAGTGCGGAAAATGTTTTACTAAGAAAAGAACACTTGTTATACACCAGAGAACTCACACAGGTGAGCGTCCTTATTCATGTTCTGAGTGCGGGAAATGTTTTGCTGAGAAAAGAGTGCTTCTTATCCATCAGCGAAGTCACACAGGCGAGCGTCCCTTTTCATGTTCAGAGTGCGGGAAATGCTTTACTGAGAAAAGAAACCTTCTTACGCATCAGATAATTCACACGCGTGAGCGTCCGTATTCATGCTCAGAGTGCGGGAAAGGTTTCAATCAGAAACAAAGCCTTCTCACGCACCAGAAAATTCACACGAGCGATCGCCCTTTCTCCTGTTCAGAGTGCGGGAAATGTTTTGTTCAGAAAGGAAACCTTCTTTCGCACCAGAGAATACACACGGGCGAGCGGCCCTTCTCGTGTTCGGTGTGCGGGAATAGTTTCGGCCGTAAAGCAAGCCTTCTTAGACACCAGCGGGTTCACACAGGCGAGCGTCCGTTTTTTTCGTGTTCGGAGTGCGGGAGATGTTTCAGTGACAAAGGAAGCCTTCTTGAACACCAGAGAGTTCACACGGTGTGAGCGGCCTTATGCATGTGCAGAGTGTGGGAAAGGTTTCATTTACAGGAAGAAACTTTTAAGACACCAGAGAATTCACATGGGCTGATGGAATTTCTCATGGAAATGGTTTGCCAGAAAAGTCACATTGGGGACGGCTCTACTTCATAGTCAGGGATTCTACAAGGAAGCAAATGGTGTCACTGGACAGTGCCTTGCAAAAGTCTTCACACCCCTTGGTCACAAATGTTGGGAACCGTTTCTCATTTTACTTCCACTTCACAATTATCACATCCAATCCCGATAAATACATTGTAACATGACAACACGGGGGGGGGGGGGGGGGGTTGGGGGATACATTTAACAACATGGGGGGGATACATTGCAACATGGCAACATGGGGGGATACATTGTAACATGACAACATGGGGGGGGGGATACATTGTAACATGACAACATGGGGGGAAGGGGAATACAATGTAACATGACAACATGGGGGGGGGGGATACATTGTAACATGACAACAGGGGGGCAGGGGGAATACATTGTAACATGACAACATGGGGGGAGGGGAAATACAATGTAACATGACAACACGGGGGAGAATACATTGTATCATGACAACACGGGGGGGATACATTGTAACATGACAACATAGGGGTGATACATTGTAACATGACAACATGGGGGGGATACATTGTAACATGAGAACACGGGGGGAGATACATTGTAACATGACAACATGAAGGGGATACAATGTAACATGACAACATGGGGGAATACAATGTAACATGACAACATGGGGGGGGGGGAGGGGGGATACATTTTAACATGACAACAACGGGGGGGGATACATTGTAACATGACAACACGGGGGGGGATACATTGTAACATGACAACACGGGGGGGGATACAAGGTAACATGACAACATGGGGAGGGGGAATACATTGTAACATGACAACATGGGGGGGGGATACATTGTACGTAACATGACAACATGGGGGGGGGGAATACATTGTAACATGAGAACACGGGGGGGGGGGATGTATGTGATACATTGTAACATACATTGTAACATGACAACATGGGGAGGGGGAATACAATGTAACATGAGAACACGGGGGGGATACATTGTAACATGACAACATGGGGGGGATACAATTGTAACATGACAACATGGGGGGGATACATTGTAACATGACAACATGGGGGGGGGGAATACATTTTAACATGACAACATGGGGGGAGGGGGGAATACAATGTAACATGACAACCCGGGGGGCGGATACATTGTAACATGACAACACGGGGGGGATACAATGTAACATGACAACATGGGGAGGGGGAATACAATGTAACATGACAACACGGGGGAGAATACATTTGTAACATGACAACACGGGGGGGTACATTGTAACATGACAACATGGGGGGGGGGGGGGGATACATTGTAAAATGACAACATGGGGGGGGATACATTGTAACATGACAACACGGGGGGGGGGGATACATTGTAACATAAGACAACACAGGGGGGGGGGGATACATTGTAACATGACAACATGGGGGGGATACAATGTAACATGACAACATGGGGGGGAATAAATTGTAACATGACAACACAGGGGGGGGGGGATACAATGCAACATGACAACATGGGGGGGGGGGGGATACATTGTAATATGACAACATGGAGGGATACAATTGTAATGACAACATGGGGGGGATACATTGTAACATGACAACACGGGGGGATACATTGTAACATGAGAACACGGGGGGATACATTGTAACATGACAACATGGGGGCGGATATATTGTAACATGACAACACGGGGGGGGGGGGGGGATACATTGTAACATGACAACACGGGGAGGGGGGAATACATTGTAACATGACAACATGGGGGGGGGAATACATTGTAACATGACAACATGGGGAGGGGGAATACATTGTAACATGACAACATGGGGGGGGGGGGGGGGATACATTGTAACATGACAACATGGGGGAATACATTGTAACATGACAACATGAGGGGGGGGATACATTGTAAACATTGTAACATGACAACACGGGGGGGGGGATACATTGTAACATGACAACATGGGGGGAATACAATGTAACATGACAACATGGGGGGGATACATTGTAACATGACAACATGGGGGGGGGGACTACATTGTAACATGACAACATGGGGGAGGGGGGGAATACAATGTAACATGACAACATGGGGGGGATACATTGTAACCATGAGGGGGGGGATATATTGTAACATGACAACACCGGGGGGGGGGGGGGATACATTGTAACATGACAACATGGGGGGGGATACATGTAACATGACAACATGGGGGGGGGGGGAACATGACATACCTTGTAACATGACAACATGGGGGGGGAGGGGATACATTGTAACATGACAACATGGGGGGACATTTAACATGACAACATGGGGGGGGGGATACATTGTAACATGACAACACATTTCACGGGGGGGGGATAACATGACAACATGTAACAACATGACAACATGGGGGGATACATTGTAACATGGGGGGGGGGGGGAATACATTGTAACATGACAACATGGGGGGGGGGGAATACATTGTAACATGACAACATGGGGGGGATACATTGTACATGAACACGGGGGGATATATTGTAACATGACAACATGGGGGGGGGGGGGGGGGAATACATTGTAACATGACAACATGGGGGGATACATTTAACATGACAACATGGGGGGGGGAATACATTGTAACATGACAACATGGGGGGGACATTTAACATGGGGGGGAACAACGGGGGGGGTGATACATTGTAACATGACAACATGGGGGGGGGGACATTGTAACATGACAACATGGGGGACATTTCATGGGGGGAGGGGAATACATTGTAACATGACAACATGGGGGACATTTCAGGGGGGGGGGAATACATTGTAACATGACAACATGGGGGACATTTCAGGGGGGGGGGGGGGATACATTGTAACATGACAACATGGGGGACATTTCAGGGGGGGGGGAATAATATTGTAACATGACAACATGGGGGACATTTCGGGAGGGGGAGGGGAATACATTGTAACATGACAACATGGGGGACATTTCAGGGGGGGGGGGATACATTGTAACATGACAACATGGGGGATATTTCAGGGGGAATACATTGTAACATGACAACATGAGGGACACTTTCAGGGGGGGGGGAATACATTGTAACATGACAACATGGGGGGACATTTCGGGGGGGGGGGGGGAATACATTGTAACATGACAACATGGGGGACATTTCGGGGGGGGGGGAATACATTGTAACATGACAACATGGGGGACATTTTGGGGGGGGGGGGGGATACATTGTAACATGACAACATGGGGGATATTTCAAGGGGAGGGGGACTTCTTTAAGGTGTTGTAGATCTGTAACAATTGTGGTTTGAAGTTTGTTTGGTAAACGTGTGTCGGCCTGTAAAAAATACCGAATCCACATCTAGGCCGATCCTGTGGCTGAGCCCCTCATCGTCTCTCCATACAATCATTATGTTCTGTATTCTGACATGCTGATAAATAAAGAGTACCTGTGGTCAGTGTGCAGATTTTTGTGAAGAAAAAATTGGTGTAAATTTGATTCATGAAGATGTAACTCGGGGAATAACAATTGTAAAGGTGAATGTGAGATGTGACAATATATCCCCCAGCTTGCCGACCCGATCACAGGACACACACTGCGAGCAAATGGTACAGCCTGGGCTTTTTATTCCTCAAATAGGTGCAGGAACTCCCCCCTTCCAAGGCACCCCTTGTCTCCACCCCTACCCCCCCTCCAAGCACTGTTCCTTGGTTCCACCCCCTACCCACCTCCAAGCACTGTTTCCTTGTCTCCACCCCCTACCCACCTCCAAGCACTGTTCCTTGTCTCCACCCACTACCCACCTCCAAGCACTGTTCCTTGTCTCCACCCCCTACCCACCTCCAAGCACTGTTCCTTGTCTCCACCCACTACCCACCCACTCCAAGCACTGTTCCTTGTCTCCACCCCCTACCCACCTCCAAGCACTGTTCCTTGTCTCCACCCACTACCCACCTCCAAGCACTGTTCCTTGTCTCCACCCACTACCCACCTCCAAGCACTGTTCCTTGTCTCCACCCCATACCCATCCCTGAGCACCGTATCTTGTCTCCACCCCCTACCCACCTCCGAGCTCCGTCGTCTCCAACCCCTATCCACCCCTAAGCACCATATCTTGTCTCCACCCCCTATCCATCTCCGAGCACCGTCCCTTGGTTCCACCACCTACCCCACCTCCGAGTACTGTCCCTTGTATCCACCTCCGCGCACCATTTCTTGTCTCCAACCCCTATTCACCCCTGAACACCTACCTTGTCACCACCCACTACCTATCCCTGGGCACTGTCCCTTGTCTCCAACCCCTATCCATCCCCCTGAGCACCGTACCTTGTCTCCACCCCCCTACCCACGTCTGAGCACTGTCCCTTGTCTCCACCCCCTATCCAACTCCAAGCACTGTCCCTTGTCTCCACCCCCTACCTACTTCCAAGCACTGACCCTTGGTTCCACCCCCTACCCACTTCCGAGCACCCGTCCTTTGGTTCCACCCCCTCCCACCTCCAAGCACCTTCCCTTGGTCCCACCCCTGAGCACTGTACCTTGTCTCCACCCCCTACCCACCTCCGAGCACCGTCCCTTGTCTACAACCCCTTATCCAGCCCTGAGCACCGTCCCTTGTCTCCACCCCTACCCACTTCTGTGCACCATCCCTTGGTTCTACCACCTACCCACCTCCGAGCACCGTCCCTTGTATCCAAGTCCAAGCATTCACCTTTGG